CACACACACACACACGCACACACACACACACACACACACACACACACACACACACACGCACACACACACACGCACGCACGCACGCACGCACACACACACACGCACGCACACACACACACACACACACACACACACACACACACACACACACGCACGTTGCACCACACATGTTGCACTACAGATTTCACACCACTCTGCGTACACCACATTGCGAACACCACAAACTTTACACCACCTGTATTGCGCAATATCGTTTGCGCCAGGCAGATCACACCACGTTGCATACACCCGAAATCCAATAATCAACTGTTCGGAGCCCACGATTGGGAACATTCGTAAATACGTTGCTGCCCCCACCCCACGTTGAGGATGTCCGAAAGCACTGCTTCCCCTGATTCCAAGGCAATGGCCCACGACAAATTCCGAGACGGGCTCTTTTCCAAGGCAACGCAATACTGCGAATGGTTGGGTATTCGATCGTCGTCTTTCACGTCGGGGGGGCACCATGCCTGTTACGGGCGTCCCCTTCCGATGCAATGACTCTGCGCGTGGGGTTCCCCCCAAGGAGGCGGCGACCCCCTTGGAAATTCTGGCGGGTCGTCTTGCCCAGCACAATGTTTCGCCGTCCAGCGCCGCTGCTCCTCGCTCCCAGGGGCACGGTCCGAGCGCACCATGCGTGAATGCGAAGTACAATATCCACGGCCAACTCTGAAGCCGTCTTCGGGCACAAAATACGATGTGTTCCCGCTCGGAGGCTTGAACCCCGAATTCAAGGATCCCGAAAGCGTCGGGCCTCGGAGGCATCTGGCGGCCTCCGACTGCGTCCGAAACCTTTGGAACGCCCGCTTCAGGCCGAGAGGCTGCCGAAGGCTCACAAGCTCCCCAATGACGCCCGCAAGAAGAACCCAAGTGGCACCCAGAGGCCTCCACCTGCGAGCCGGGCGCCCTGATGCGCGAGACCAGGGGGCGGCAACGACAACAAAGCTCGTGCCGCACACAGTGGTCAGACGCAGCGGTAGAAGCAGAGGAAGTTCGGACAGCATGCTGGCTCTTCTCTGGAACGTGGCGTCCTCACGTTTCGCTGATCAGCGAACCCACCCAATATGTTTGTCAAGTCTCTTCTACGGAAAGGTCGGGCACAGCCTGGGCCGCGGCGAGAGACCCCTGCCTTTCTCCTCGTCCACGCGGTCAACACCTCTGCGGTTCAGACTCAGCCCACCGTCCCCCCCCCTCCATCCCGATTCTCCTCAAGGAAGGAGAGCGGGAAAATGAGGTGGAAGAGAGGGGGCGAGGAGGATCTGAACCGCAATCGGCGGCCACGGGGCCGCTGTCGCGGCCCCGCACGCAACAACCCACGGAAAACCTGTCCGACGCCCCACGTCAGGGCATGGTACCGCGCTCCACCAGCACAGTGGGAAAAACCAGAGGCACTACATGGGCAAGAGCAGGGTGCGAGGAGGGCGGCACAGGATTAGCGCTTGCAGAACTTCATGAGGGAGCTGGCTTTTTTCCGCAAGCCCTCGTGGACGTCCTTGAGCCCTACACCGTGCGGCTCAGCAACGCCAGTCGCATCAACAACACTATGTTGCGGCTCTCTGTGCTGTCGCGTATCGCCTGCAGGATCATTTTCCAGGAAAGACGCAGGAGCGCCGTTATCTAGAATGCCCACTGCTGATGCATCGCGTCGACAGTCGAATGGTCATCGAGCTTGCCAAAGACGATGCCGACCGCTTTTATTTCTTGTGGTGTGACCCAACCGCAGACCTCAAGCGAACGATCGGTTCCTGTGGTTGCCTCAGTGATGGCGCAGGGACGGCCCATTCGCCGAACGAGTCCAGCAACGACACGCCACCAAGCGATGGGAAACGCTTTGAATCCCACAAGCCTTGTGGGGCACCAGGTAACCCAAGGGCACGTCCTGAACTCCTCTCTGTCAGCCATGAACCCTCCCTGTCTATGGCCCCAACATAGGCAGGAATCCAACCACCCCTTAAAGGCGCGAGTGATTTCGTATTTTCTCTTCCAGCCAACGTATTCCCCCTCGGGGAAGGGTTTCCCTCCTCCCTGGCCCCTTCCCCCTGGACCTGGAAGGGGGGTGGGCGGCAAGGTGCCAGAGTGTCGAAGGAGGCCTCCGGGAGAAGGCCGTGGTTTGGGGCCCATGTTGGCCTCCGGGAGGGGGTAAACCACATTGAGGACCCCCCCTTCTTTGTCGAACTCCCCCAAAATGGCCCCCAAGGCTCCCAAGAGGGCCTAAAGAGGGCCCCAACAAGCGCCCATGAGGTCCCTAAAAGGCACCCAAGAGGCCCCCAAGGGCCGCCCAATTGAACTCGCAAATACCCCAAGATACCCTTCTTCCAAGGCACCAAAGAGGCTACAAGGGGACCGCAGGACCACCAAGAACCCCCCCAAGACGCGCCAAGATGACTCCAACTGGCGCGCAAGAGACATATGGAAAGGCTCCGAGAGGAATCCAAGAGGCCTCTGGCCATTCTGCTAGATCTCCTCCTCCTCCTCCTCCTCCTCCTCCTCCTCCTCCTCCTCCTCCTCCATTTCCTCGTCCTCGTCCGCCTCCTCCTCCTCCTCCTCCTCCTCCTCCTCCTCCTCCTCCTCCTCTTCCTCCTCCTCCTCCTCCTCCTCCTCCTCCTCCTCCTCCTCCTCCTGGCCTTCCTCCTCCTCCTCCTCATCCTGGTCTTCCTCCTCCTCCTCCTCGTGCAGGAGAGGCAGGGCAGGGCAGCAGGGGGCAGGGCGGCGCTGCTGGGCCCATGTTCCCCCACCTACCTCTGGAGGAGGAGGAGGAGGAGGAGGAGGAGGAGGAGGAGGAGGGAGGAGGAGGAGGAGGAGGAGGAGGGAGGAGGAGAGGAGGAGGAGGAGGAGGAGGAGGACGAGGAGGACGAGGAGGAGGAGGGGGAGGACCTCCTCATCCTCCTTTCTCCCCCGTCCTACATATGGCAGTGGTGGTGGAAGATTGGCCCATCAGGCGCAGAAGGCGGGAGAGGCGAAAGCACTGCACACGGCGCGCCGCGTCGGGCGACGCCTGCGGCTGCGGTGAGCAGCAGCGTGGCCGGCTGGGCCACACCTCGATGCCCAAGGCTTAGGTCGGGCATGTCCCCCTACAGGCGGATTTTGGGCGAAAATTGAAAATATTCCAAAGTACCCAAACATGGTCCATAAATGCTGAAAAAAGTCGCCCCCCGACTATTTTCAAACTATTTTTGAATTCTCCTCATGTAGAGGGACAGGCCCGACTTCACCCGAGGCCCAAGGCCTGCGCAAGGCCTGCTCACGGACCCACCGAGCTCGACGTCATTCGCGCCTCTCTCACGGCGCAAGGCCTGCCGGGCCTCCACCGGCCCCACCCAGGGCGCTCGGAGGGCGGGTGCCTCGCCGGGCCGCGGCCGCGCAGCACCCCCCGGGGACCCGAGGGCAGCTCGCTGGTCGCTGAGGTCGCGAGGGGCCGAGCTCGTTCGGGAGTGCCAAACCGCATGCTGACAGACCACGCGGTGAGCTCGGAGTCCCAAGAGACCTCACACAAAGGTCCGTCACCGCACGGCCCTTGGGACCCTGGAGGCCCCGGTCGCCCGAGACATCCCTGGAGAACGACCCGAGCCCCAAAACCGTGCGGTGGCCCCGAAGACCCGCTGAATCACCCACGGTGTGGTCACCACACTATCTGTGGGACCCCGACTCGAGCACGACTCGTCCCTGGCGCCGCGTGGATCGCTCGGCCTCGAACGAGCGGCAGTTTCCCGATCGCCAGATCGCTTCATACAGGCCGGGATTCTGGGCCACTGGCGACGTCCAGCCCTGAACGCCCGCGGCGGGGTCGCCGCCGCGTCGACACGACACGAATCTGCCGCACAAACGTCCCTGAAGGGGCCCCAGGACACACAAATAGATACACACAAATAAGAATATCCCCCCTATTTTCCTATGTTTTTGGGGTGTTTGTCTTCCCCCCCACTTCCCATATTTTTGAACATTTTCCTGAGAATCGGCGATTAATTGTGTCTGTGTGTTTCCCCTCCTGAGTCCCGCGGGGCTGGCCGGCAGGGGCAGCTGCCGCAAGCACCTGGGCGACGCCCCGGCGCAGGCCGCGCGCTGCGCGCGGCGGCTGTCGTGCCCAGGCCCACGGCTGCGGAGGGGGAGGAGCAGGATGGAGGGGAGACGTTGCCTAGGGGAAACGCTACCTAGGGGGAGGAGCAGGATGGAGGGGAAACGCTACCTAGGGGGGAAGTGGCCCGGGGGAGGGAGCCTGTACCCAAAGTCGGCGGCACGTCGCCGACGGGACGCCGCGATAGGCCCCCGAGGGCGAGCTCGAGTCATCCCCGGGAGGGGGGTGGGCTGTCGGGCCCCGACTGGCGAGGAATGGGCGATTGGGGGTCGCGATGCATCCTCCTCTGGACAGAGAGGGAGGAGGAGGAGGAGGAGGAGGAGGAGGAGGAGGAGGAGGAGGAGGAGGAGGAGGAGGAGGCGGAGGAGGAGGAGGAGGAGGAGGAGGAGGAGGAGGAGGAGGAGGAGGAGGGGGAGGAGGTGAGGGGGGGAGGGGGGGAGGAGGGGGGGCAAAGAGGGGGAGGAGGAGGAGGAGGAGGAGGAGGAGGAGGAAGGAGAGAAGAGAAGACGGAGGAGGGGAAGCGGAAAGAGACGAAGAGACAGATACGGTCAAAAACCCTAATAAGGACGCGCAGTAAGGACGCAAGACCCTTGGAAGCCGAAGTTGGGATTTTTGGGGCGGCGGACAACGAAAACCTCAAGGACGCAGGAAAGGAAGAGCAAGGACGCAAGGGTACCCTCAGCAAAGTCGCGCGTCCGTATTAGGTTTTTGACTGTAAGGAGGAAAAAGCGGGGAAGCGGAAGGAGAACAGAAGGAGGCGACGACGACGACAAAAACGACAATGACGACAATGACGACGACGACGACGACGACGACGACGACGACGACAACAACAGAAACAACAATGACGACAATGGCGGCGACGACGACGACGACGACGACCAGCCGCCTCGTGCGGCGCCTTCTTGCGCCCCTTCTTGGCGGCGGCGGGCCTCAGCCGGCGTGGGGTCCAAGGAACAGGAGGAGGAGGCACAGAGTTAGGTCGGGCACGTCCCCCTGCAGGCGGATGTTGGGCGAAAAACCAGGAATACTCCACACATGCCCCAAAGTAGTCAAAACATACTCAAAAAATCGTCCCCATTCTAGTTCTGAAGCTATATTTGAGTTTTCCTGTAGAGGGGCATGCCCCATGTGAGCATAGAGGTCCTCGAAATTCCCCCCCTGGAGGCCTGGAGGCCCCCAGAGGGCTACAGGGTGCCCCAGAAAAAACACCAGGCAGTGCCCCAAGACTTGTGCTGCTCCAACCGTACTGAAGGACCAAATCCCAAAAATAGTTTCGACCACCCAAAAAAGTATCGAAACGGTGTCGAAAGAGCATCGCCTCCCAGGGCCCGACACGTGAAAAACCTCGAATGTCGGCACTTTCTTGGTGCTCGAACTTCTTTCTGGCGATCAAGGCAAAAGTAGGCTGGAGCATCATAAACCAAGAGCCACAAACCACCGCCAGAGGACAGGGCTGTCAGGCCCACAGAGTTTCGGCGGTGCACAAACCTCCCTTTAGTAAACCTCCCTTTGGTTAAAACAGCCCAAGACCGAACCCGACGGACCTGGACCCGCAAAAATGGCGGCCGCAACGCCCTCTCGCGAACCGAAAACGGCCAGTTGACTAATCGACGTGTCAGGGTAGGAGGTCGATCCACCCCCGATAAACCAAGAGCCACAAACCACGGCCCGAGGACGGGGCTGGCAGAGCCACAGAGGTGCCCGCGACATCGACTGCTCTCCGGGATTTGTCCCGCGCCGGCGGGGCGACGACAGCGAGCCCGCCCCCGGCCTGCCAGGAGAAGGGGGAACGCCTCCGCTGGCCTCGGCGCGTCGCCCGCGCCACGCCGCACTGCAGGCAGGGCCGTGGCAAGGCAGCTCGCGAAGAGGACCAGATCGCACGACAGAGGCACCGCCTGGCAAAGCCGCGAGAAGGCACCGCGGCACCGCCTGGCAACGCGAAGGCAGAAGGGGACTTCGTTCCCTATTTGGCTGGACCGCTATCGTGCTGGCAGAAGGGGACGCGAAGGCGAAGGCAGAAGGGCCCTGCTGGACCACTATCGTGCTGGCACCGCTTGGCAACGCCGCGAGAATCCAGGGGGGGCAGTTCAGACAGACAGACAGACAGACAGTCCCGCAGAAGGCACCTGCGCGGGTGCAGCGGGTTGGTGCCGGGGCGCCCATCTTGGCCTCTCAGGCTCTGGAGTTGGTACTTGGAGCAGCCGGGGTCAGAAGAGCCGGCTTCGGAGGGCAGGAGCCGGAGAGGCGCCGGACGGCGGCGGGGCAGTTCAACGCCCCGCAGCTCCCCCCGCAGGAAGCCCGCTGCACCGCGGAGCTGCAGCTGCTGGCGGGTGCCAGCCCGCGCGACGCAGACGCGCAGGCGCGCCCGCGCGCGGAGCGCAGTCGCCCGAAAGGGGCGACGTTACGAGCTGCCCAGTCATGCGCAGAAGCAGGCTCGCCGAGGCGCACACGCAGGCGTGCGCGCTCCAGCGGCAGCAGGGCGAACAGCCTGGACAGCACGGGGAGGCGCCGGGTCAGACTCGGCACGCGCAGCACGTCCGACTTGCGAGTGCTCCATAATGGGAGGGCCCGTCTGTGGCCTCCTCGTGGCTGCAGCTAGCTCATGCCGCCCGGGGACGCCGCGCTGGCTCGCTGGGCGCGAAGGAGGTGGTGCAGGCCATATCGAACGAGGATGCCGACAGACTCACTCGGGACACGGGCACCGAGTTCTTTGCGTCAAGGACATCGGAGATGCTCTGGTTGCCGACGTGGCGACGTGCATGAAGGCTTTCTCCAAGACAGCGCGGCAGGCTCGTGGTGAGTCAATGGTGGCGTGCAACTGTGGCGAAACTCGAACGGACCTGGAGGCGGTGAGCTCCAAGACGGTAACGTCAGCAGCGACTCCTGCTAGTGAAGAAGGTCCAGCCAGAATGATGGAGCCCCCGACCCTACTGTCACAATGAAGGCGTCTAAATTAGGCCCCCGCCCTTGCATTTGGGATAAAAGATATGGGCGGTTTGGTTTGGGCCTCCTATCTGAAGGCTCCTCCCGAAGAGTTAGGGGTCCGTGAATAGACTCCGAGTCAGCTGCAGCGGTTCCCCCAGGACCCAGCGAGGAGTCACTCCTGGCCGCGGTCGGGGGCTGGATACTTCTGTCGGGAAGCGGGCTACCCGAAAGCGGCCAGGCAACGGCGGTCTCCAGCGCCAACAACGCCTACGACTGCCCAGCGCCTCGTGACCGCACAGCGGACGCAGTGGCCAGAGGCATGGCGCTCTGAGGCCACGCCACGACGCGGCGGCGAGGACTGCCTCGTGGACGAGGCCGAGCTCGAGCTGCACGACGAGTGCTTCGGATGCGGCGAGCTTCCCTGGGAAGACGCGCTGGCGGCCAGGAGGGCGACCAGACGTGGGCCTGGGCCCAGGCAATGCCGCGCGAGGCCGAGACGGGACGAAGAGTCTAGCACGCAGGCCCAGCAGCGCGCAAGCCGCGGCAAGAGGCCACAGCGAGAGGACGTGCCTGCGGTGCGGTAAACCCAGCCCAGAGATCCAACGCACCGCAAAAAAAAACAGGGCGGAGGCTTCTCGCGGTGTTCTGGCCTCTCGGGGCCCTCGGCGGGCCCCGGGGCCGTAAAATCAAAACGGCCCGCGACGGACAGCTAGTCCCAGGAGTCGGCCGAGACTGCCAGGGGCCCCAGCTCGAAAAAGTCAAGCATCGGGCCCCTGGGAACGAGGGCGCTCGGCGAGGGGCTGCCGGAAGCGACGGCAAGGGCGGCGGCCGCGGACGGGGCGCGGGGCGCGCCCCACAGCCCCCCGCACAGGTGGAGGACCTCCGAAGCCATGCGCGAACTTCGCCCCACGCCTCGGCTTTCGCGCGGCGGCGAGCTGGCCGGGCCGCCAGCCAGGTGCGTGCGCGCCAAGCGGCACCTGGTGAGCGTTTTTCGTCGGCCCACCTCCCCGCAACGGCAGGCGCGGGGGCGAGAGCGCCAGGACGGACGCAGGGTGTCCAAAAATACTGAACTCTTCGAGAAGTCAGATTCAGCAGCAACAACCACAGCACAAACAACACCAACAACAACAACAACAACAACAACAACAACAACCACCACCACCACCACCACCACCACCACCACCACCACCACAACAACAACAACAACAACAACAACAATAATAACAACAACAACAACAACAACAACAACAACAGCAACAATAATAACGACCACCAACAACAACAACAACAACAGCAACAACAACAACAACAACAACAACAACAACAACAATAACGACAACAACAACAACCACAACAATCACGACCAACAACAACAACAACAACCACCACAGCAGCAACAGCAGCAACAATAACAACAACAACAACAACAACAACAACAACAACAACAACAACAACAACAACAACAACAACAACAACAACCATAACAATAACAACAAAAAACAAAAACAACCACAACAACAACAACAGCAGCAGCAGCAACAACAATAGCGACCAACAACAACAACAACAACAACAATCATACTAAGACTGTTTGCCCTTATCTGCTCGAGTGTCCAATAACGCCTATTTCCCAAACCCTCGATACCCGCCCTGTTCGTCTGCGATCGAACCCCTCTTGGGGGGGTATACCTTTCTTCCCTGCAGGCCGGGCCCCGGCAAGCGGCGGGGCGGCCGCGGACCGTCGGCCTGGCCAGCGGCAGCGCTGATCGGCGGGGCGGCCGCGGATCGTCGACCCGACCCCAAGAGGGACGGACAGGGGACCGACCACGACGGCGACGACGACGACGACGACGACGACGACGGCGACGACGACGACGAGCGAAAGCGAGAGCGAAAGAGAACGACAGCAGGGCCACAAGGACACGAAGCAGGCCACGAAAGGCAACAGCGTGGACACGAAGAGAATGCGTATGGGGCCACGAAGAGCGCGAACGAGCTGGGGCCACGAAGGGCTGAGAATGCGGGGCCACAGAAGGCAACGATGGGGCCACTGAGGGTAGCAACTGGGCCACGTAGGACAGAAGCATATGGGGCCACCACGGGCCCGAACGAGCGTGGGCCACGAAGGGCATACATATATGGGGCCACGAAGGGCTGCGACGGGGCCACGAAGGGCTGCAACGGGGCCACGACGGGGAGCGAGGGGGCCACGAAGGGCTGCAACGGGGCCACGAAGGGCTGCGACGGGGCCACGAAGGGCTGCAACGGGGCCACGAAGGGCTGCAACGGGGCCACGAAACAAAGCGAGGGCGCCACGAAGGACCGCAACGGGGCCACGAAGGGCAGCGAGGAGGCCACGAGGGGCTGCAACGGGGCCACGAACGGCTGCGACGGGGCCACGAAGGGCTGCAACGGGGCCACGAAACAAAGCGAGGGGGCCACGAAGGGCTGCAACGGGGCCACGAAGGGCAGCGAGATCCCGATTTTTTTGTAATCTGTGAAGGGGTCCTAAGCGTGAGCGCGACTCCTGGGTGCCTGGGTGTCGGGAGCGCGGCGCTTGAGTAAATTGCACGAAATTCCAACGCAAGGGCGCTATTCTTCTGTAAATTGCAAGCAAATCCCCAACGAGAGCGCGACTCCAGAGCGCCGGGAGAATAAACTCTAAGGAAGTCCCAAGCGAGAGCGCGAGTCCTGAATAAAACGCGAGGAAGTCTCGGGCGGGAGCGGAGGTCCTGGCTAAATTGCGAGGAAGTCTTAGGCGGGAGCCGCTTTTGTTGTAAACCGGGGGCCAACGACACAGTTTGACCCTCAAGACTTTCCCTGATAAAAAACCGGGTGCGAGCCCCGGTAGAAAAAAAAACAATATGCACCGGACGGGGGGGATCAACAATAATTATTTTATTCAGAAATGAGAGCTCAACAACAACCAACAACAAGAACAAGAACAACAACAACAACAACAACAACAACAACAACAATCACTTTACCCGAACGCTCAGTGTTC